ATTATATAATGGCATGATAATAATAATAATAAAAAAAAAAACCTTTCATCCTTTGCAGGCTCATAGATTCTTTGTGATTTGATCCTTTTTTCGGCCTTTTTATCTCTATCATCCACAATTTTTGTAAAATGTTCAGGTACTGAAAATATAAATACAAGAATCTAGAAGAAGAAGGGACCAGGGCAGAAGAAGAGCTAGTGAGGTAGGGAAGAAGAAGAGAGAGGGAGAGAGGCTGGCAGAAAAAAAATCTAGGTTTATGCAAGACACATGAACTTTTCACTTAAACCTATAAACTATTTTTGGGCCGTGTTATATAATTGGATGCATAATAAATAAATAACTGATAAAGTTCTTAGTATTTTTTTTTAAGTGCTAATTGGGCCTAGTTTTAGAATTATATTTTTATTTTTTTACTTTGTATAATTCTAAAAATTTAATAATGTTTTTATTGCAATATATATATGTGAGTGTGTGTCAATTTTTAATAGTGCAATTATTATTGAGGTATAATGGTGTATATATATAACTAAAAAAAATGACATTATTATATTATTTAATAAAAATATCAAATTGACATGTATTTTAAATTTGTCACTATTGTTAAATGATTTACAACAACAATAACGGTAATAACTGTTATATTTTAATTGTTAAATTCCTCATCTATTATGGCAATCTATGACTGTTATTACAATTACGATCATTATTTAAAATTATAATTACAAGAAAAACTAAAATAAAACGCTAAAATACTGTAGCGTTTGTACTGTTCATTTACTATTTATACCTTTTTTTTTTTTTTTTTTTTGCCTTGCCTATAGCTTGGGTTAATTTTTTTTCTCTCTCTTTCTTTTTTTCACCCCCTTGCCTTGCCTCGTAGCCTGGTTTTTATTATTATTTTTTCTTTCTTTCTCTTGCTGCTTTAAGCCTCTCTTTTGGCATTAAATTAATTTTACATTTTAGTCCCTATTTTGTAACTTTTTTTTATTTTAGTTATTAAAATTTTATTATAACAAATCAGTTTTTTTTCCTCTTGCTGCATTTTTTAAGCTCTTTTTTGGCTTTCGAGTGAATTTTATTTTTATTTTAATCCTCGTTTTATAATTTTTTATTGTGGTTATTAAAATTTTATTATATTTTATTTTTGTCCCTGTAATAAATATTAAAATTTTATTTTATTTTTATTTTAATCCCTATTTTGTAACTTTTTTATTTTGAACATTAAAATTTTATTATATTTAATTTTTATTCCTATAGTAAATCATTTTTTCTCTTCCTATATTTTTTAAGCCCTCTCTTTTGGCTTTTAGCGAATTTTATTTTATTTTAGTTTTTGTTTTGTAAACTTTCATTATTTTAGTCATTTAAGTTTTATTATATTTGATTTTTGTCCCTATAGTAAATATTGAAATTTTATCATATTTGATTTTTGTCCCTATAATAAATATTTTTTTCTTAACTTTTAGTAAAACTACTCACAATCTTATTGTTTATAATTTTTTTTATCATTCTTTTATGATCTTTACTTTGTTTTGATCGTTTAATTTTGATCGTGTGTAATTTTATCTCTATTTTTTTTTTTTTTTGCCAAATTCACGATTTGATAAAGTTTTTTTTTATCTTTTTGTTTTTTGTAGTCTCTCTATCTCATTAACAAATTATAAATGAAGAATATATGGTAAAAATTAATCATCTAAAATTCAAAAAACTACCACATTATTATTTTAATTACTAGTTATTATATATATTTCTAATAAAATGCATGTCTATATCAAACAATATCTAATTAGCAACATTATATTGCTCAACTTTACTGTGAGCTTTTCGTTTAGCTAACCGTACGGTAAAATATAAGATATATATTTTGATTCTTTTTAAAAAAAAAATTTTACGTGATCCTTTTAAATAATTATTTTTAAATTTTGTATTTTATATGAATGAATACATAAGAATGTTGTATAACTCACTTCGAATTTTTTTCGTATGATCCTTTTACATAATTATTTTTAAATTTTGTATTTTATATGAATGTACACATAAGAATATTGTATAGCTCATCTCCTCACGGCAACGCACATGATATATGCTAGTATCAACTAATTGAAATATATGGAAAGCAAACCCAAACCACAGCCCTTGTAATTAGTCTTTTGATGCTCCAAACTCTGGTGACCACGGCTAACTGTTAAACAATGACCCAATATCGCCCATGATCCATCAGTCAATGCATGAAGATAATCTTTTATGTTTGCAAATTGAACAAGGAAGAAATCATTATCAAGATCAAGGACTCTAACTTATCTAGTTGCACTCCAGAATATTGTATTTAAGCAGGCACACAAAGTCTTGTACCCTACAGTTCTGCCAAGAACCTTCACAACAACAGATAGTTCTCATAGTTTTTTCACTATGTTTTTGAAGGTTTCAGAGAACTCTATTGCTAATTCTATATTCTTTTCCACAAACGTTAGATCTTCTTCTTCAACTTCAAAAAAATTCTATTCGCATCCATTCATACTGCGTATCATCATCATTACCAGTACTTTGAACAACAACACCTTAATTTGTAGCTTTTTATATTGTCCGACATAGGACCATCAAAATTAAGTGTACTCATTCTTATATATTAGTTTAACTTCTTGAATGACTCGGTCATCATTATCGATATTGCTTTCTATAGAAAGGCAATAGGAATCTCAATAACTTATTCTTACGTTTGTTGTGGCTATTTATTGTAAGGAAATAGTGGATCCCTACTGGGCCAGTTGCCCCATACTCTGCCGGAAAGGATCTTGTCACTGTTCACAATGCATGCAAGGTCCTATTATCAAAAGATATCGAACTCGAATCTTGTTGGGCCCCACTTCCACATTATATCAGTTGTTTCTTTCTTGTTTCAGTTTGAGAAATGATTTGCAGTTTTCGTGTCAAAATCAGTCTTTGATTCGCAGTGTGATGTTTTCGTTCCTTTAGACTTTTAGAATAGCCATTTCTTCGGTGAGATTTATTTTATTCCTTTTTTATTAAAACAAATAATTACGTAAATCCTTATTTTTTCCGTAATAAAAAGGTATAGTGACCATGTCCAAAATTGAGTATTTTCTTTCGGCTTTATAATTATTTCTTAGATTAATTAAAATCCCATATGATAATTGGGGGGTGGGGTGCAGCAGTATTTGACCAGCATTTCAAGAAAATATTTGTTTGTGATGCACATGTGTATAAATTATAAATATGCAATTCACATGCAGAGAAAGCGTTAGTGACATTTCTCTTTTTTATAAATATCCTAGTATACCAATTGCAGAATTATTTCTGGTGGCTCTTTTCTTTTTTTTCTTTTTTTTTTTTTTTAAAAAAAATGCATGATTTTTGGGTTTGTGGGGCTTTTACGTGACTTCTATTATGTCTTATACAGTACTCTTGTTAAAAAAAAAAAAAAAAGGTCTCAGTGGTCCAATGATCTATCAGTTATGGTCGTGGGAAGTGCCACTACAAAATATGGAATCAATCTACAACGTGTGAAAAGAAGCAATATTGGTGGAAAGATACAACGTGAAATTGATGTCAACCTTCTACATCAAGTGAGCTACTCTGATTTATCTTATGTAATTTATACTTGCAAGCTCTCTCTCTGTATTTTTTTTTTCCCGATTGAGTATCATATTTGTTAGCTGTCTTGCTAATCCTCTATCTCCGTTGTCTTTTAATCTTGTCAGTTTTTTCAGACTCGGATATCGTTGGAAGTTCCATTTATTTGGGAATGGTTGAACGCACGTCAATTTACTCTTTAATCCTAAACCAATTTGCATGTGCCGTAATTATCTATTTATATATAAGTTTTTCAATAGTCGACTTTGAGCCTTAGACAGATAATTCGTACCCTTTAGTACTATTAAGGATTGTTTTTTTTTTCCTCACATTTCTTAAATTGAAAACCAAGTAATGATACTGATAGCAGACCAACTTATCATCTACCTCAATGCCTCAAAAAGTAAAGAAATTAAGTTTTATTAGCAAGCTAGCTTATTTTGTTGACTAAAATGCCTGGATTTTTGTGTGCTGTGTGTGTAATCTTTCACTAAATTAATGTTTGTTCGGGCCGTGACTAATTAATTGATATACCTGTCAGTGTCTACCAGCTTGTAATTCAACTACTTGAAATGGCAAAGAAATAATCTTTTATCTTGTCTTGGAGGTTGGAACTATATCATTACCACATGTCTTTTTGTTTTGTTTTTTAATGAATTAATAACCATCACAACATACTTGAAAACGACACTCACTAATACGTAATTAACGGTTTTGACGTTTCCTATTTGCAAATAATTTAGGCATGGGCACTGCTACTCTGATTGGTGTCCGAGTTTCAACTTCTGACAAATGAATATTTTATTACAATTGTTTCAGTTTTACTGGAATCTGATAATGTTGAAAATGTGGGAAATTGTTAAATTTTTTGCGTTGGATAAAGTTACTCTCTGTACATACATGAAGACTTTGGCTTTAAATTATATTAACTGCGTGGAACTTTTCAACTTGTATTTAACAATGCATCTGTAAGACAAACCAGCTTTATAAATTACTATTACAATAAGGACTTCCGGCTGAGGAGTGTTTAAATAGTATAAATCAATATATGAAAAACAGCCTAGCAGTGTAGTAGACATGCAATGCCCAACAATTGTGTTTTATGTCATCACTATTTTTGTGACCATAAACACTTTAATTAAGGGTAATTACATCACTATTTTGTGACTATAAACACCTTAATTAAGGGTAATTACTTGCTACATCAGCAACACAAATCTATGATGCGTTCCCTTACTTCGTCAACTGCCAAGCTTTACCTTTGAAAGCGAAATATCCCATCTAATCAATCATACTTGGTTAAATAAATGCCATCTATATGCGTGCAGATCTCTCTTGGTTGTCTTTTTCTTTTTTCCTTCTCTATTTTTAAGTCTACAACTTGAAACCTTTGTGTTTTATCTATCAAAATGTCTCGGTTTGCTGGCCCTGATGAGATAGAGTCATTAAGGATTGAGTTAGCAGATCTTGGAAGAAGCATGAGAAACTCATTCAGGAGTCAAGCGCCGAGTTTTCGTAGTGTTTCAAATGGGGATTCTGAGCACAGTAGGGATGCAGATGGTGAAGATTTGTTGCAGTGGGCTGCTGTCGAGAGATTGCCTACCTTTGAAAGGATCACTACTGCTTTATTTGAGGAGCAAGATTGCGCTGCTGAAAATGGAGATGCTAAGGGGAAAAGAATTGTTGATGTTTCCAAACTGGGGGCTCAGGAGCGGCATATGTTCATTGAGAAGCTCATCAAGCACATTGAAAAAGATAACCTCCGATTGCTGCAGAAACTTAGGCAAAGAATTGACAAGTAACCATTCTTTTTACTTTACCTTCTTGAAAGATATGCAGATATTCGCATCATACATGTTAAAGTACAATTGAAAATGTTTCTGTGTGTTAGGTAAAAAAAAGTTGCTAATGTATTGATGGGTATTTCTTGGAGTGTAAGCTTTTATGTTGTGGCATATCCTCAAAACCTTCAATGCTTATCTGGTCTGATTGCAGATCTTTTGGATTGTTTTACTGATTTGTTTCGATTATGTATTTCAGAGTTGGTGTGAAGTTGCCCACTGTGGAAGTGAGATACAGAAATCTTTGTGTTGAAGCAGAGTGCGAGTTGGTTCATGGGAAGCCTCTACCCACACTGTGGAACACTGCTAAGAGCTTTCTTTCTGTAAGGACCTGCATATAACAGGACAAAGCTGTCCAACTGTCTTTTCAGTCATCAATGGTCATCGATTCGTCTACACTCTTAAAATTACAAAAATTTTAACTTGAAAAGGCTGCCTTTGACCTGACAATCACAAGTGATGACCAGTGTATGAATGTTTAACGCATACATAATTCAAACAATTCACGCTGTGGATCTATGCTGATTGAGTCTAGACATTTACCATTCTGAAGTAAATACGATCAAGTGGTTTGTTTCCATTTGTAAATTGCTAACTCCATTTGAGCTTTTTGTTTGTGACAGGGGTTTGCCAGTCTCTTACGTTCGACACAGAGAACCAAGATAGGCATCATAAAAGATGCCAGTGGCATTATTAAGCCAGGAAGGTAACCGTCAAATATGATGATGTTTATTAAGTTCAATTAATCGTTGAACAGGCACACCTCCTCGTCCCTTTTGACATGCTAAACTAGTATAAGAAAATTGGCAAGTGATGAAATTGCCGTTTCTGTTCATGAATTTATTTCCTTACAGTTGGAAAAAAAAGACAAAAAATAAAAAATAAAAAAAGTAGACTTCTCTCAAATTAAAACAGAACCCAAATTACTTAGGGAAAATAATATTGCATTAGTGCTAAGTCAACTTCCTACTTAAGCAGCATATTCCAACAGGAGATTTTTGTTCACAAATATCCATCTAAATTGTTTGTCATTCAGATAGAATCATAGAAAGTATAAAATGTTTGCAAATTCCAATTGCATCAGTAACCCATATATATTTAGCTACTGTTTTTTTAGCAACTTAAGTATTTTCTAGCTTTTGCAGGGATATATCGATATTGTTTGTCCTCCTGCTTCATTTCATGCTGTAGAGATTCTTAAGTATCTCACTTCAATTTATCTTTGTTGCAGGATGACTTTATTGCTCGGCCCTCCAGGATGCGGCAAAACCACTTTGTTGTTGGCTCTGTCTGGGAAACTAAGCCATGCTCTCAAGGTTTCTTAGTGCTTATCAATTATACAAATAAAGAAAAAGCGTTAATGAGAAAAAAAGAACTGAATTATCAGAGAAATTTCCTTAAAAAGTACGAAAATTTGTCAACTATCACATTCGCAAACAGCACAACAATACTAAACAGCCAGCCTAAAGCTTTCCTTAAATAAATCTATACTGAGCATTGCATGTCAAATTATTTGCTTTTATGTTTCTCACTGACCCATGCGTTCTTAAAAAGGTTTCAGGGGAAATATCTTATAATGGTCACAGATTGGAAGAGTTCATTCCTCAGAAATCCTCAGTGTATATAAGCCAACACGATCTGCATATTCCAGAGATGACAGTGAGGGAAACAATTGATTTTTCTGCACGTTGTCAGGGCATAGGAAGCCGACCTGGTAAGAATACTCTGGACACAGAAGTGGTAATTTTTATATTCAAATCAAACTCTTAACTTAGTACAACTGAAAATTTTTTCCTGGTAGACATCATGATGGAAGTCAGTAGAAAAGAGAAGCAGGCAGGGATAGTTCCAGATTCTGATGTGGATGCTTACATGAAGGTTACTGTTAGACTCCAAGCATGTCTGAAATTTTTCTTTCCATATCTCCAAGGTTCCCCTAAATGTTGCAGAAATATGTTTCACTCTGCCCAGAGTCAAAACTTTTGGAAAGTTGAACATGGATGACCATGTTCAATAGTTTAATCAAATTTTACCACAGTTCAGTGTGTTTGGCTTTCATCATGCCTAACTAACATAGTCAGAGTATTTTATGGTTCCGACAGTAACATGGATGACCATGTTCAATAGTTTAATCAAATTTTACCACAGTTCAGTGTGTTTGGCTTTCATCATGCCTAACTAACATAGTCAGAGTATTTTATGGTTCCGACAGTAACATATCTTTCTTCTTCACAGGCAATATCAGTTGAGGGACTGAAAAGTACACTTCAGACGGACTACATCTTGAAGGTAGTTTACTAGATTTATTCTATGAGGCTGAACTGCTGATTTTTTTTTTTTTTTTTGGCGCTTCTTGTCAAAACATGGTCTAAGTTCTATGTTATCATCAACACAAATTTGTCCTTCTTTCAGATTCTAGGACTTGATATTTGTTCTGATACAATGGTTGGGGATGCCATGAGAAGAGGTATCTCAGGTGGTCAAAAGAAAAGGCTGACTACAGGTAGGGTATGTCTCAGATAAGAATTTGATATTTTAGAGCATTAAGTTCTGTTCGTTTGAGAACTCCTGAAGCTAAACTGAGAAGTCTCAATGCCCTCGTTTCAACTGTTCATCTGAGTACATCGACATCCATTAACCTTTTCCTGGTTGTCATACACAGGGGAGATGATTGTGGGGCCCACGAAAGCACTATTCATGGATGAAATATCAAATGGCTTAGACAGTTCAACCACTTTCCAGGTTGTGTCTTGCATGCAGCAGTTGGCTCACATTGCTGATGCAACTGTATTGATTTCACTTCTTCAGCCAGCACCGGAGACCTTTGATCTATTTGATGATATCATTCTGATAGCTGAAGGGAAGATTGTTTATCATGGACCACGTTCTATTATTTGCAAGTTTTTTGAAGACTGTGGGTTCAGGTGTCCTGAAAGAAAAGGAATCGCGGACTTCCTTCAAGAGGTGGGCCTTTAAGGTTCTTTTTTTTTTTTTTTTTCCCTTGGAGAACAGGGACAGAACCCTGGTAATTTATTAATTAAAAGTGGAAAAAAAAATACAAGGGGGACAAACCGGCTTAGATTGGGAGGACAAAGAAGCCTAAACCCCTTAATCAAAAAATAAAAAGACATTGAAAAATAATAACGTAAATATAAAGTGGAAGTTTATGCCATACTAGAACATTTGATATCCCCTAAAACAAATCCTAACAACAGAATTTAAAACTTAGCCCCGAGGATTTAAGAAGCCCGATAAGTAAACAGACCTGTATTATCATCCTTGATGGCCTGTCGAATTGTGCTTGGAAGCTCTGTAGTAGAAAATATTACTTTCCGTGATGCATGCTCAAAGGCCCAACATGCAAGATTGTCTGCAACTTTATTTCCTTCTCTGAAAACATGTTGGATTTAAGCTTCAGGTTTTGTTTCCATCTATACTCTTTGCAAAACCGGAGCTCTTACTGTTTTATTTTTCTGCAGGTTATCTCAAGAAAAGATCAAGGGCAGTACTGGCACAGCACTGAACAACCTTACAGTTATATATCGGTTGACCAGTTTGTTAATAAATTCAAAGAAAGTCGGCTTGGTGAGAAGCTAGACAAGGAGCTGTCAAAGCCATTTGATAAGTCTAAAAGCCACGAGAATGCTTTAACCTTTAGTAAATATTCATTAACGAAGTGGGAACTCTTCAAAGCTTGCAGTGCGAGAGAATTTCTTCTGATGAAGAGGAACTCTTTTATATACGTGTTCAAATCTATACAGGTGTCTTCCTGCAATTTAGTTTTTAACTTTTTCCATGTATAATGAACTTTTATTCAGCCCCTTAATATACGAAAGTATCTCTGGTTTGTCCTCTGCAGCTAGTTATTGTTGCTTCAATATGTATGACCGTCTTACTACGTACAAGGATGGGTGTTGATGCGATCCATGCAAGTTATTACATGGGTGCTTTATTCTATGCCCTCGTTTTATTGCTTGTTGATGGAGTTCCAGAGTTGCAGATGACTACCTCCCGACTTGCAGTTTTTTATAAGCAGAGAGAGTTATACTTCTATCCTGCGTGGGCTTATGCGATCCCAGCTGCTATTCTTAAAGTTCCACTTTCTTTATTGGAAGCTTTTGTTTGGACAGCCCTAACTTACTATGTCATTGGTTACAGCCCTGAGTTTGGAAGGTGAGACCAAGATGTGGAGTTAAATTTTCCGATTGATAAAATGTAGAGTGGCTGATAATTGTAGTGCAAGAGAAAGGGTATTGTGGATAGCACTTGAGAATTCAAATCACAAATTCTGCAGCTCTGCATTATTATTAGTATCATTGTTATTATTGCTGCTGTTGTTGTTATCGTTTTAGACACTTGAAAAAAAAAAGAAAAGAGAGAGAGAGAGCTATGCAAAAAATTCAACTTAGAATGAGAAAATATGTTGAATTGCTAAGATGTTTTTGAATGAGATATTGTTCATAGGAGCACTGTTTTTGAATGAGATATTGTTCTTGGGATGCAATGAATAAGAATCTACTATTTGCTGAGCACAACTGGCTGATGTATCCGCCAGTTTTTTTTTTTTAAAAAAAACTTTTAGTTCAAAACTTTTACTATCATAAATTCCTTCATTCTTGTGATGATATTTTTTTGTGTTTTCAGGTTCCTCCGGCAACTCCTTCTACTGTTTGGGTTACACTTAACATCAATATCCATTTTTCGTTTCATTGCCTCCATCTTTCAAACCGCGGTTGCTTCAATGACGGCTGGCAGTATTGCTATGTTGGCTTGTTTACTATTTGGTGGCTTTGTAATCCCAAAACGTAAGTAAGGTTTCTCCCAATCTTGTTATGTTAATAGAATCTTCAGATGACTTTTCTGAACAACTTATTCTGTGACAGCCTCTATGCCTGCTTGGTTGCAATGGGGGTTTTGGATTTCTCCAATGGCATATGGCGAGATAGGTTTGACCACGAATGAGTTTCTTGCTCCTCGATGGGAAAAGGTAAATATTTAAGTAATCAACCTTTCCTTGTGCAGGTTCTCTAATGCCAACAATAATGCAACAGTAATGTTAGAACTAAGGTTACAATTAAACTTTTCATGATTTGTAATATAACAGTCCTCCTGGACCAAAATCTTCCTATTGAGTTGCTTATATAATGATGCGGGGGATTTTTCATGCTCCTCATTTACTATCAGGTAGGGCATGAGAAAAGTTCTGGTAAAACTTGAAGTTGGCGATATATTTCTTGGAGAACTTTTCTTGAAAATCCATCCTAATATTTCTTTTTGGAACTTGCAAAAAGAATGGAAACGGAAAGGATACTGCTAACACTTGTTTAAAAATGGATCAATTTCTGTAGAGATTTCAACTTCTCAACTTTCCTATTACTTCATTACTTGCGATATCCAGATAAAGGGAGAGGCTATTTTATATTACTATGCACCTGCGAAAATGAGAAATTTAGTCAGCCAAAGTCACTTAATTTTTAATTTATCTGCAGATTGTGTCTGGCAACACAACCATAGGGAAACAAACACTAGAAAGCCGAGGATTAAACTATGATGGTTATTTCTACTGGATATCAGTTGGTGCCTTAATAGGATTGGCAGTACTTTTCAATATTGGTTTTATTCTGGCTTTAACCTTCTTGAAACGTAAGTTCGTCTTCTAGTTTTTCATAGTATATTTTAAATAAAAAAGGTGTTCCATGCTAACCAAATACATTGATATGGATTCAGCTCCAGGAAACTCTCGAGCTATCATTTCTTATGAGCGGTACTATCAACTACAAGGGAAAAGGGATGATGGTGATCATTTTGACAAAGACAAAACAGTCAACAGCGCTCCTTCTAAATCTAGCTCGGACCCAAGGAAAGGTGCTTGTTTTGTCATTCTTCCATTGATTTTAGGTCGTCTTTTAAGTCTATATGGTAAATGTGTTGCCATCGATTCATATCTCCCACACTTTTTAAGTGACGCAATCAATAATTTTGCAGGAAGGATTGTTCTACCCTTTGAGCCCCTTATGATGACATTTAAGGATGTACACTACTATGTTGACACTCCCTTGGTAATCATGATAAATCTAATTATTATTTGAATTCCGAATAGCAATAATATACAGGAAGCAACTTATACCTGCAAATGCCATTGTTTCTTCTCAGGAAATGAGGAAACGAGGTTTTTCACAGAAGAGGCTCCTGCTTCTTTCTGACATTACTGGTGCGTTTAGACCCGGTATTCTTACAGCACTGATGGGTGTTAGTGGAGCTGGGAAAACAACTCTCATGGATGTTCTTTCTGGAAGGAAAACAGGCGGTAATATTGAAGGAGAGATTAGGATTGGCGGGTACCCAAAGGTGCAAGATACATTTGCTAGAGTTTCTGGTTATTGTGAGCAAACAGACATACATTCCCCTCAAATAACTGTAGAAGAATCTCTAGTGTATTCTGCTTGGTTGCGGCTCCCATCTGTTGTCAATCGGAAAACTAAATCTGTATGATATCCATTCAATTGAGTTAATAGTTTGGTTCTGGACTTGCTCTTTAAGATTGAGTTGCATTGAAGTCTGAATATTCTTGTGACTTGTTTTTCAGGATTTTGTTAATGAAGTCCTTGAAACTATTGAGCTTGATGGTATTAAAGATTCTTTAGTAGGCATTCCAGGAATTAGTGGTTTATCAACTGAGCAGCGTAAACGATTGACTATAGCTGTAGAGCTGGTAGCCAATCCATCTATCATATTTATGGATGAGCCCACATCAGGTTTAGATGCAAGGGCAGCTGCTATAGTTATGAGAGCAGTGAAGAACATAGTTGAAACGGGAAGGACAGTTGTTTGCACCATCCACCAGCCAAGTATTGATATCTTCGAGGCATTCGATGAGGTAAGATATTGGTATTTTGCATAACGGAACATGATATAATGAAACGGATGCTAGCAAGTTCTCTCAATAAACAATCTGCGGATATGATGTAAAAGCATATATCTGCAGTTTTTAAGACATTATTTTCACTGCAGTTGATTCTAATGAAAACTGGAGGACGCCTTATCTATTCTGGGCCATTAGGTCAGCAGTCTAGCGCAGTCATTGAGTACTTTGAGGTCTGTTATTCTAAAATTCTTCATTTAAATGTTTGTATTCATATTGTTGTCCTTCATATTTAATAGTTCTGGTTTCTGTCAAACTTCTCTTATTATGACCCTTGTTGTACTTAACTTCTTGAACAGAAAATTCCTGGAGTGCCTAAGATTAAAGACAACTATAATCCGGCAACATGGATGTTAGAAATTACTTCTAAATCTGCAGAGGCTGAACTTGGGGTAGATTTTGGACAAATTTACGAAGAGTCCACCTTGTACGAGTAAGTACTAATATTAGAATGCACTATATTTATATTGTGAAGCGTGGGAGCTCACCACTCCCTCTGACTCTATGTTACAATTGATGAATATGAGTTGGTCTTCATTACTATTGAAGGTTTTCTTGGTTTGTGCTTGATTCATCCTTAAATCTCAGACTTAAAATTGGCTAAACATGCACATGAATGTTTGATATAACTCATGAGTGACAGAAATTCTCTCTCTCTCTCTCTCCTGAATTCAGGGAGAATAAGAAGCTGGTTAAACAATTGAGTTCACCAACTCCTGGTTTGAAGGGCCTGCATTTTCCTACTCGTTTTTCACAGAATGGTTGGGAACAGCTCAAAGCATGCCTCTGGAAACAGAACTTGTCTTATTGGAGAAGTCCTTCGTACAATCTTTCGCGCATTTCTTTCATGTCTGCCGGAGCTTTTTGTTTGGCCTACTGTTCTGGCAGCAAGGAAAGGATATGTAAGCCATACTTCTGATACTTAGTGGAAGGTCTTCTCTAAGGACAAAAATTGACATGATTTTCGTTCCTGATTGTAGAAACAACCAGCAAGACTTGTTCAGTATGCTTGGCGCAATGTACTCTGTCATAATATTCTTTGGAATAAACAATTGTTCTACTGTCCTACCATATGTTGCAGCAGAGCGGACAGTTCTGTACAGGGAAAGATTTGCAGGAATGTACTCTGCTTGGGCCTATTCATTAGCGCAGGTTCTGATCTGTCATGAAAACTCATTTAATTTATTTCGTCTAGTTTGTCAAGTTATAGTACCGGTTTTTAGTTACTATATGCAAACCAGATATACATCTGCGAGTCTGTGGCTATATTACCAGTGAGGCAAAGTCCCTGACTGTAACATTTAATTGCTGAACCAAATGTGGCAAGTTTCTTGGTATCAGAATAAGAGAAAATTATCAGTCATGTCCTTCGCCAGAAGCTCAAAGACTTCAGAAGTTTCTTTGACATAAGATGGTTGTTCAAGATCTTTGTGGATTAAAGTTTAAGATCAGAATTAAGACTTTCAGTTTTGTTGAAAATTTGCTGGTCCTTCAGTATTTTGGGTAACTTGTGTGTTTTCATTATTTTGCAGGTGTTAGTTGAGGTTCCTTACTTGTTTACTCAAACAATTATTTATGTGATCGTCACATATCCTATGATCGGCTACTCCTCGTCTGCCTATAAAATATTCTGGTCTTTCTATGGGATGTTCTGTACGTTGCTTTCCTTCAACTACATGGGAATGCTGCTCATATCAGTGACACCAAATATTCAAGTGGCTGTCATTTTAGGCTCACTCGCGTACACAACAATTAATTTTTTCACAGGATTCATTGTACCGAAAAAGGTAACCTTTCCATTTTAATGTATTGATGGACTCCTATAAAATAATAATAATAATAATAATAAAATAAGAAACCTTTCAAGGCATCCATCACGCCTCTACCTAGATTCATTTTTCTCCAATATTTTCCTAGATGAATAAGTTTTGCTTCAAGTGTGCTGAACTGCGCACATGAAGTATCGAAATTCGTATCCGAATAGATCATATATATATATATGTCTGCCTTTCGGATCTCTATAACTAGTCCAACATGCATGAAGTACATCAGCTGTAATCTATAGATTTCTATTCTATGAGCAGGGTAGATGTTGAAATACAGAAAACTGACTCAATTATGGTGCTGTTTTTGCTTCATGCAGCACATTCCAATGTGGTGGATTTGGTTGTATTATATTTGTCCCACATCTTGGGCATTAGAGGGTATGTTCACCTCGCAATATGGAGATGTCGACAAAGAAATATCAGTGTTTG